TCCCTATTATCACCATTAGGTCATTCCAACCTTGCATCTATTACTCCCAGCTAAACACCAGATGTTCCTGTTATCACTATTAGGCCTTTCTAACCTTGAATCTTACTACTCCCAGCTTTTTCCCAAGAGACCAACTCTTCTTGCTTCTGTCCTCTTTCTTTTAACCATTGCATTACAATATCTTCCACATCTCCCCCGTTTTCTGTAAGTTGAACGACATTGGCTTGCCACAGTCGTGAAACCATATTATTAAGCATTCTTTGCACACAGGAGAGTATACATGGAATGAGTATTGCAAGCCCGAGTAAGATAAAAAGTCCCACTATAACATAAAAGACTATGGTGCGCAGCCAGCCGGATAGGCCTAGTCCTTTCAGCCAAGTGTCTAAACCCCAGATATCTGTGTCCACGGTTATATGGGTAAGCCTTTTTCTCAGGTTCTGGAGTTCACTATGAATGCTTGTGGAGTGATCTGATAGGTTTAGACAACACATTCCTTCAAACTCTTCGCATCCATGTCCTTGGGCTAAAAGCAAAAAATCAATAGCTGCACGGTTCTGTAACACGGCATGTCTAACACTATCTACGTCTAATTGAAGTTCATATAGTATTTTTGAGGTAGAGTTGAATTGTTTCACGCTCCAACAGGCTAAGGTATTAATAGTTCTCCAATTGGATGCAGCCATCCCTCCGGGTACAAAGAAGGATAGTGCTATTGTTTTTGCCATGGACCCTAAGTTGACACGATCATTGCAGTCAGGTGATATGTTTTTGATGTGTCTTTTGGCTCGTGATCGACTTGTAAAATTTAGTTGTTTCATACTTGGGGCAAACAGCGTAAGTTTCCCTATGTAACAGGGTCCAAACCTGGGATTTACAGGTACGCCTGGCCACGCTCTATCTCCGCAAATAAGAAAGTATCCTGGGGGGAAGAGAAATCCTCCTCTGGTATCAATTTCTTCCGTGCCTACCACCCAGGATATATTTGGCCATTGTCCTTGGGCAGATGCTCGAACATTTTGGACC